AAACGGTAACCTGGTTGCCGAGTTCACGAAGTGAATTGGCTTGTTTTACAACGTCTTTGCCAAGCGACGAAAACCCAATCCCGATGGCAAACACCGGGGGGGGCGGCTTGTTTTACAACGTCGTTGCCAAGCGACGAAAACCCAACCCCCATGGCAATCACCGAGGGGGGCGGGGGGGGGTCAGGTATTTGTTGCTTGGATGGTTGGACGACTTCGAGCAGAGGGGCACGGTCGTTGGAGCATCAAAAAGGGTACATGGATCTTGACTTATGTCTGTGGAATCCCGACGATTCGTCTCAATAGTTGCAACGTTCCCCGTAGAACCGTGTCTTCCAGGCTCAGACTGTTGACATCGTCGGAGGTACTTGGGCAAGAGAGGCTGCTGTATGAGTAGAATTGATTGCGTTCAGTCGACGCGAAACTGGTACCGACATCATGCCTCCTCAAGAAGAGCGTCGCCCAATGTCTACCATAACTGCGTGGTCGAAGTGCCGTCGCCGCTCGTCGCTGGCGTTCGACATGGGCGATTTCGAAACTACCCTCGTGTTATCCCCCGGGTGAGTGAAAAAATGTTTGAAGACGAGAATAAAATGAACGAATCAAAGTGACAAACTTGTCGCGACAAAAGAACACCAGGGTACTATATTGTTGTAGCGTTCGTGGCGTTCGTGTGATGCAGATAGATGGCTTTGCGTTGGCGGCTGACAGAAACACATAAGCGACAGTGGCTACGATTGCATCAACGAAAATAATAACAACGGCATAGACAACGACGACAACGATCACATCATCAGCGCCAACAGCAACAATCTACAACCAACAGCATCCCCCACCTTCTTCCTCCGCTCATCCGCCCCTAGGGGCCGGAGCTTGTCGATCGCCAAGAACAACTTCTTGGAGTGCAGCGCGTGCTCAACCCCGAGCACGTCCGCGCAGTCGTTAGCATCCAGCGCCAGCAAGAAATCGCCGTCCACCGCGGCCTCCTCGAAAGCCGCCCGGTACTGCCGCAAACCCAGGGTGGTGAGGAAGAAGCCCACGTCCTCCTTCGTCCAGAACCTTACCTCTGGCGGGAAGGGGTGCGCATTTGCCTCTTCCATCTCCTCCTGCGCCTCCATCTTCTCCCGGAGAACTTTGTTCTTTCGACCGATCTGTGGGGAAAGGGGGGGGGACGTGTGAGCTCACACTTTTTTTTGCGTCCCAGGACCGTCGTCGACAAAGACACATTTTGAGACGGCAATGTTAACCTTAGTCCGTTCCTGCCATCAGAAGAGCAACACTTGGACGTTACGCTTCGTGTTCAAGTCGTACATCTGGACGCACTGCTGCCGTGTCAAGTTCATCGGACGCTACGCCTCGTGTTCGAATCATACATCAACCACTGTGTCAACTTAACTACAGAGAGACCGGACGGTGGTGGAGCTCTGCTTGGGGAGAGAGCGTCAGTCGGTCAAAACTTGTTCCTCTCACCTCCTGGCTGGTCACGTCTGCGACCGACTCCATTACCTTGCCGGCCTTGATGGCGGGAATGTTGGCGGCGGCTGCCGAGGCCGCCGCCGCCGCCGCCGCATCCGCGCTCGAAGTGACGGCCGCCGTCGTCGTGTCCGCGTTGATGTCCCGCATGGTCTTGAGCATGTTGAGGCTACTGAAGTAGCTGAGGGACATGGACATGAACTGGAACTTCATGAGCTCCTCCGTCTGCGAGTACATTGCCGAGGAACGCTCCTCGTGGTCCCTCGCCCGCTGGGCGGTGGCGCTCGCCGTTGCCGCTGACGTGGCTGTGGCAACCTATTGTGTTTCGGGGGGGTAAGGGGAGAGGCTTGAGGAAAGGTGAGGAGGAAAATGAGGTGGCTTTGGTGGTGGCGGTTTCCTAAACGAGAGGAGGAGAATGAGCTGGCTATGGTGGGGGGCGGTTTCGAAAAAGGGTTCTATCGCGTCGTACGGCGTTGCGTCTTGTATCTTGCGGAATAACGAGTTGTTTTTTTTTCGGGTATAGCTTTAGATCTCTCTATCTAGGTGGCTTCTATACGGGAAAGATGCGAGATGAAGGCCATTGGGAGCCTTGGGGCTTAGGTGTCCTTCGTTCGTGCTCTAGCTGTAGGTCTTCACACACTACGGACGTTCTGAAGGTTGCTTCTATTGTTCTTTCTGTTGTCGGTTGTTGCGTTATTCGGACGAAAAGCCTTTCTGTCGTCTATCCAGCACCTCCTCGTCCGTACCAGCACGGTGAGGTGCAGCGTTTAAATTTCCATGCCCACACGCCACAACCTCAAATTAGTCGAACTGTGTCGTTAATACTTTTCAAGGTGTTGGCGTATCTCACTGCTCTTCCTACTGGTGTTGTTTGGTTTCAATGTTCGTTGAAAGTATAAACCGCCATTTCGCACGTACGTCCGACTTCTCAAACCCAGAATACAGAAAAAGGCAGTATATGAAAATTGACATAGTTACCTCCAGCTGTACGCCCTTTTCCTTGACGGCGTCGAGCTCCAGCTTCTGCTCCCGGAGAAGCTCCATCAAGTTGGCCTGCATGCGGCGGAACTCGACCGTCTTGCGCTCGCGGGTGCTTTCTATCTCGGTGATGGCGGCGGAAACGCGGTCTAACTCGCGCCGCTTCAGGTCCACCTCCTCCCGGACTCCCCTGAAATCGGCCTCGAGCTCCTGTGAAACATGCACATGGCGTTCATGTGGTCGTTACGTTGCGTAAGTTTTATCACCGCAGTTTCGCATTTTTCTCCCACCTCTCTCCCGCACACACCCCTGAAATCGGTCTCCATGCCTTGTTTTGTTCCTTCACTTTTAAGTGGCGTTTTTTTCAGAGAACGCATAGTGGATGCCGTCGTCGAGAAGAAAAGGGCCACAACTAGAGGCGATGTGGATCTGCGAAGAGGCTGGCCGTTCATGTGCAGGCCCAAGGGCATACGTCTTGGTTGATTCATTCACGAAGCCCCCCCCCTTGGCTCGTTGCGGCAGGTTGTAGGTCGATGAGAACGTAGCTGTCTTGAGTCAAACCTTTCTTTTTCTGTTCTCGTGTAACTAGCAATCGGTGTCTCTGCAACGAAAAGCGTAATATAATAGGCGTCCGTTGTGGACGTAGGCAGACATTCTTAAACCAAAATAAAGAAACGGAACACAGCATTGGTTACGCCAGGTTCATAGTGAGACTGACGATGAAAGTACTTGTATCTGATACTCGGTCTTAGGCACAGAATGTAAATCGAGAATGCAGTTGAAAAACAATCAATACGTTGAGATTTAGCAACGTGCCGCCCCGCCAACACGGAGCATGTTTGTCTCGCCTTCTCCGGCACACGGCTTTACCATTGAAGAAAACTCAACATACGCTTACTTTGGTCCTTCCATCCTTTGAGAGCACGGTTTTCTCGGGGAGAGGGAGGGGGAAGGCGTTCCGCGAAGCAAAAACCAGCAAATTGATCGAAAACCCCGAAAAAAACAATTTGTTTGTCAAACTCCGAACCTAACCTGTCGCTTTTTCTCTCGCTCCGCGCGCTTGACCTGAATTTGCATCTCGATAGCAAACCCGAGATCCTTGTCGGCTGCGTCCCTAACGTTATCACCGCCCCACACCCCTTCGTCCCCGCCCCCACTACCACCCGCTCCCCCTCTGGACGGGGCGGGGGTGTCGACCCCTGGCATGGTCTCACCCGCTTGCATCAGGCCTAGCTGCACCATGTTGCGCTGATGGTTGAGTTGGGACAGTTGACCCTCTATATGATCTGCAAGGACGTTGGGTGAGGGGGGGGGATTCTCGTCGAGCGAGGAACCCGCACGTTAATGTGTTGTTGTTATTGTTGTTGCTGCTGTCTGCTGCTAGCAGCCATCTGTTTTGTGCTGCTATTTTTGTGGCCGTGGTCGTAGCTGTTGTGGTTTCAAATAAACTATCATCATAAAATCTCCTCAGACCAGACACAGAAGGCGGAACGTAGTCGCCAAAACCACGCATGCATATCGTTAGCAAATGAGACCGCAGAGGAAAGGGTGCTTTGTACTTCTATCTGCTACCAGGCCCCAGGCACAAAAACTCTCGGAACAAAGTCCAAACGTTTCATAAACGTCAGAGCGCGCAGGTACTGCTGTACCGTTGGTGTTCATACCTTCCGTGTACTATCGCTTTTCTCGCGCTTGACGTCGGCGAGAATAATCCCGTCCGCACCCTTTCAAACGCGTACAAGCAGAATTGTGTAGGAGTCCCCATGCATACAGAAAATGCGCATTCCTTATACTAGTCTTCGGTATTGAAAGCAACCAATAAGACGCGCAAGCGGGCTGTCATGGTCGCCGTTGCCTGCTGTGTGCCTCCCTTGCACCTATGTTCCACACAGCTGGAAACAGATCTGTGAGCCGCACAGCCTTGCTGCTGCATCCTTACACGAAGTCACATTCATCCACCGGTGCAAAGACTGTCTTACCGATCTCGTGCATCTCTCGTTCGAGGGCCGTCAGCTCCTTCTCACTCGCGCCCAGCTCTTTCCGTATCCGGCTCGTCCTGACGGCCGCTCGCTCCCCTGCCGTGTGCAGGGCGGCGATCTCCATCCGCTGGGCTTCAAAGGCGCTCTTGTTGTTGACAATGGACACGCGAGTGTGGGTGCACCGGGTTGGTGAGTGGCTAGCTGGGGCAAGGAGCTTGGGTTGCAAGGGAAGGAACGGAGTTTGTCGCTTTCGCTTCGGAGGGAGGGTCACTTGGGCACCGTTCCGTGCGGGATCGTCCACCAACCGTCACTTCCTGAGGGCCGGCGAGTGGACAAGGGTTAAGGGTAGGAGTGGTATACTTGGACGACGGCGATAACAGGCACGCCACCATCAAAGACAGCACAGCTGAGCGGGCGATATGGCAGCCACGACGACAAGGCAACGATGCATGCTGGTAACGGCGGCGAAACCCCCTCCGTGAAAGGTATAAAAAAATAGCTGTTCTCTCTCTCGCTCACTTTGGATTCCTCGATTAAGCGCACGCCGAGCTTGAGCCTCTCCGGCCCGGGCTCCGACTTCTCCCACTCCAACCTCCGCGAGGCCTTCTTCCGCCCGATCATTCCGCGGTAACACCGCTGGATCTCTATGGCAGCGATCGACGTCGCCCGGTCACGTGCGTACCTGTCCATCGCAAGCTTGCACCTCCACCACGACTGAATCCTGGTCGTCGCCATGTTCCTCTGCCGGAGACTTTCCAGCAGTGCTCGCTGGTGCGCGGCGCTCCTCCTGCCGAGGTGCCCGCGGTAGCACCTCTGGATGGCCTCCGCCATCACCTGTCTGCGTCTCCGCGCGGCCCGCCGCCGGCCGAGCATGCCCCTCCCCGCGCTCTGCAGGCGGATGGCGGACCCCCCGAGAACAAGCTCGGCTACGGCGGCCTTGCGAGCCACGCGGGCGTGCTCCTTCGCCAGGTGGCCTCGGGCCACCGCCTGGACCTTCGTGGCGGCGGCGGAGAGCTCCCGCTCCTCGTCCCTCTGCAGCCGGAGCCGCCGAGCGCGCTTACGCGCGAGGACGCCCCGGACGAGCGGCTGGAAGCGCAGGGCCGCCTCCACCCTCGCCCGATCAAGCTCGCTCTTCGAGCGCTTCCGGAAGGCTTTCTTCGAGCCCAGGCGCCACGCGGCGGCCTCCGCGGCGGCCGCCGCTTGATCCCTCTGGAACTCCTCGACGCTCATCGCGCCGCCGCCCGTCGCTTTACGTATTCGGAGCATCTCGGCCTCGTCGCGGGCCGCATCGTCCATGAGGGAGTACGCGTCGGTCGCTCGTTGGAGCTCCTCGGGGAGGGCATCCAGCGGGGAGTAGTCAAGCGGCGGCATCGCGCGGACGGGAAACGGAAAAGGAGGAGACGTAGAAGAAGAGTCAAATGCGCGTCCAACACCCCCAACCGCCTCTCCCTCTACTACACTGTCGCAGTTGTCCTTCCGGCCGCGGGTTGATGCTGAAGACGTAGGTGGCGACGATGGCGACTTCGATGCAACCAAACCTCCTCGCACGATCGCATCGTCGACGTTCACGCCGTCGACCGCCCGCTGCAGGTCAGCCGGTGCGCGTGCACGCCTCCCCGCCGCCAGCTGAGCCTCCAGGTCGGCGATCATCTGTCGGTCTTCCTCGGCGAATTCTCTTCCCCTCGCCTGTTGCTCCCGGGTTATCCCGGCGATGCGCCGCTCCGCGTCGGCCTCCTCGCGAACGAGCCGCTCGGCCGCTCGCCGCCGCGCCTCGCACAGCCGACCCTCCAGCGAAGCTTCGGCCTCGAGGAGGTCTGCGAGGGAAGGAGAGTCGCTACCATGGCCGCTTGAGCTCGTGGCTCCTGCGGTAGCTGCAGCTGTCGACGACGACGTCGGCGACGTTAGTGAGACCTCGCCTTGCCCGCCGTTTCCGCCAGTGGTAGGTTTGTTCACTACCCAGCGACGATTGCCCCGCTGGTGCTCGCCGGACAACGGGAATTCAAGGGACGGCGGATTGCTCAGAAGGTCCCACGGATCTTCTCTGTCTCTGAGCGCGGTCGGGCGGTTTGAATGTTCACCGTCGTACAGCACGGCCGCCGTTGGGAAGTACGACGTGGAGTAGTCCTTCTCTCCTGCTCCGCCTTCTTTGTCCTTGTCCCCGTGTGCCCTACTGGTCAAAAACGGTGCTGTCGTCGGCGCCACTTGTTCAACTGCCTCCTGTGGTGTGTTGTCCTTCCAAACCACCTTGGGCCGGCGACGACAACCGTGCACCGATACTAGGGGGCCTCCAACCGCTCCAGAGTCTCTTTCCCGGCCGTCGAGGGCACCTCTGTCTCTTCCGCTCCCTCGCCCACGGGCTTGCCGCCCCTCGTGCGGTTCGACGTCTTTGTCGTCGCTAACCCCGAACGCGTCGACACTCCTCGCTTGCCTGCGGCTGCTACCGCTCCGCCCGCCGACCGTGCGGTGGGCGCCCCTCCCACGGCCGGCGGCATTGCCGGCGCCCGAGGTTGCGGCGTGACTTCTCTTGATCGGGCTGGTGTTCGGGGTACGATGGCCAAGGGCGACGCTCGCCGGCAGGGTTGGTATCGACAGGTCTCTAGGGAACGGCGACGCGGCCGCCGGCAAACCGCTTCCTTCTCGCTCGGCGCCGCCTTCACCGATTCCGTCGCAATCTACATGCCCTTTCTCTTCTCGCCTGCCGCGGTCGGCTGACATTGCGGCATCGTCTCCCTCCGAGTCGTCGAAATCGCCTGTTTGGGACGTTGCTACCTCAGCCGCATTCGCTGGGCCGCCGCCCCGCTTGTTCACCCTTGCGACCCACTCGCCGGACGGGTACAGTCCGAGGGTTGCCGCTCCCTCGGCCTCTCCCTGAAGCACGTCGGCCTCGTCCACACCAGTGTACGCTGGCGTGGGCTTCGCCAACACGTCCAGCAGGTCGATCACGGCGCGCTTGCCCTCTTGACAGACCTCGTGCCCCGCCCGAACCCATGCTACGAACGTGCCGCGAGGCCTGGACAGCGCCCGCAGGAGGTCCGTTAGCCCCTTCCGCCCGTACACGGATGACCCCCTCGCTGCTTCTGCCGCGGCGGCGGAAGATGTTAGCTCGCCGTCGCTGCCGGCACCACCTCTACCGTCGCGAAACTCGTGACTCCAGAAATGGTGAGTGCTGCTCCTCCCACGCAGAAAGGGATCGACGTTTGCGGGGTTTACGAGCATGTCCTCGGTGGACTGGAGGAGGACGATCGGTACGCCGAGAGCTCCAACCTCCGCTGACACGTCCTCGTGCAAGAGGGCTGAGTTGCACAACAAGTGCCGACCCTCGAGGGACACCGGATTGGCTACGGCGGTGTAGATTCCAAGGGCGAGGTCCCTGCCCACCTTTCGCAGGTAGTCATCGCTGAAAATGTACCTGTAATGCAGTCCAGTGCACGGATGTATGTTAGAGGGCTGGAGAGGGGGGAAGACGATCGAAGGAGAGGTGCAGCGTTTGGGTGCTGTGGTAGCATGGCGTAGACAGGAGTGGGGAGACGACGGTGCCGTAGCAGCTGAAGAAAGAGTCGCGTTTTCCCCTAGCGGGATAAACACCATACGTGATTTCTACCGTGCGGAGCGTAACCATGCTGTGGCAGCGTAGTGTAGCCAGGAGTTGGGAGAGGACGCATGCCGTAGCAGGTGATACAAGCCCCCCTAGAGGAACACCCACAAACGCCGTGAATCTATGGTGCGGGGTGTAGTTTCAGCTGAACACGGAGAAAACGGTCTAAGTTACTCTCCACGACGCCGAGGTTTCAAGCCGTAGACAAGGGCACACAAACGTGTTTTCACCGAGACATGAACAAGACGGGTAGGTCCGGCCTTGCCGGCGGCAAGGTGGCGAAGGCGTTGAGCGAAGAGTGCAGAATAGCTGCCAGCTGCGAGTCCACCGAGGAGAAGCCATTGATGCTAACGACAGACCGGATGCTGGAACGGTAGAGAGGATGGTCGCCGTAGCGGAGTGCAAACGCAGCGGCGGTGGCCATTCCGTTCCCGATGCCAACCTGGGCATATCACAGTAGGTATCGACAGGCGCATGCGTATTCTGCTGAGGTAATCGGAAACAGGAATAAGCTCTCTTGATCTCCGTTAACGCCATGGCGGCGCCTGGTCTTCCCTACTGACGTTGTCGGGAAACTTCAAGGGGTTGTCTCTGTTTAAGGGTATCAAACGCAGCCCCAAGGCGGCGTCTGGTCTCACCTGACGTTGTCGGGTGACTTCAAGGGATTGTCTCGTTTAAGTATCAAACGAAGAATGTAAAATAGCTAGGCTCTTACTTTGAACAAGAGCTACGGCGTGAAGAATTGTGTCTTACATCGTAACATATGACGTGGATGAGGCAGGCGACGCTATGGTGCTGTTCTTAGAGGTGGGGGCGTGAAAGGTGTTGAGCGCGTATCTCGACGAGACACCGCTGGCCACCCCCTTTTGCTGGGTGCACAAGGAACACGATTCGGTTTCTAAACTCACCAGGTGAAACGGTGCCGTTAGACTCATCTCTCCGACCGAGTGCACGTGCTGAAGGAGTTCGTGCAGCCTGGGAGCAAGAAAAGCGTTGTTCGGGACTTCCTTCCTCACTTTTCCACTCCCACCACCACTCCCGACACCACGATGCGAAGAACCCAGCCCGTGTGCCCCGCCTCCGTTCGATCGTGTTGCGTTTCCCTCCGGTGACGCAAGGGCGACCATGGATGGCGACACCCTGAACACCGTGCCGGCTTGACCGGGGTAGCTGAACGCGAGCACTCGGCAGCCGCGGTGCTTGCGGGTGACTGGCCTGAAAAACACCTCAGTCTTGTCCACGTTGTCGAAAAAGTCATGCACGACGACGAAGTTGCATGACTCCGCGATGCTTGACGACGTCCTGGGGTTCCCGCACACCCTGTACGGCAAGCGTGTCCTCCCGTCTGAGCAAACAAAGTGCTTCCCCGACGAAGTCTCTGGCGCTTCACACTGGCCTGCGTTCGCCAACCGTCCGGATGTAAACGCCTGCGCCGCAACTCGGCCACATAGGTTTTTCTTTCTGCGACACGGCAATCGCTTCTCCAAGGACGCCGCTGGTGCTACTGAAGTAGCACCTACAGCATCGTCTTGGTCGCTCGACACTCCAAACCCAGAGTTGGCTTCTCCGCCGAGATTTGGCGAAGCAGTAGCGGGCCCAAACACCCCGAAGCCCACGGTGGAAGTTGGCTCGAGGGACACTGAATTTGGTGCTTCCCTGCCGCCTCTGCCGTTGCTGCTCGGCGCTGCCCTGACCGCGTGATTCTCCAATCGACACCGTCTCCTTCCAGCCGGGGCGCGGGAAGGGCTCGCCCACCTAGTCCGCCTGGGATATTTCTGTTGCGGGAACGGCTGCTGCCGCTGAACAACTGCGGTGCCCCTGTGTTTCTTGACATGGTCATACCCCCAACGTCTGATGTCGCCGTCGACTGGGACGACGTTTGTGCGCGAATGACCGCTCCCGGTCAGCCACCGGTTCGCCTGAATTACGCCGAGAATCCACAAGCAGAGGTTCCCCGCCGCATTGCACAGGGGGCGCACGACGGCCGGGTCGAGGCTGGACCGTTCGAGAGCCGGACCCACTAAGCTCAACTGCTGAGGGGTTACCGCGCGCGGGTCTAAGGCTCGCAGGCGCGGGAGAAGACCTGCACGGCACATCGCCGTTCTAGCTATTGCCCAAGAGACAGGCACAGCCGTAGCTTTCTCGGTAGTCTTGCCTTCTAGCAAAAGTAGGGCAATTGAAGCTACGTGCACGACGGTGGCAGGGGGGCGCACGAGCGAGCGCAGCTCAGAGATGTCGCCCTGAGAAATGACATCCATTGCCCGCCTGGCTTTTGACAGTGACACCGCCAAGGAGGAGTACTCGTGGCCTTCACTCGACGCGGAGACCGCGGGGACAGTCTCCGCTGCGATGGGACTTTCTTTGTGCCCTTGTCCGTCTGTGTTATCTTTCTCACCAGCTCTCGTGAGCAACATCATCGCCGTTGGCATGCTCCCAGCACCCTTCTCATCGCATGAAAGCTGACCCAAGGGGAGTCTCGGGGTGACGGGGTGGCGCCGGTCTCCACCGCCGGCACAGGTACGACTCGCCGCCCGCAACGCTCGAGCGCGTGCCTCGTCTAGAAGGGTGTACACCATGTGACAGTTCGAACACACCCTGACCAGCCGGTAGTACACACCAGGATATTTTCCGCCCACCAGGTACGGTTCGTCCCCCTGGCCACCGTCTAGATACCTGTGGTAAGCGCCGTCCTCGCCCCGGGCGTATCGCCGCAGAAACGCCTCGACCAACGGCCGCTCCTGCCGGGCCTGCACTATCGCCTTGTATGTTATGTCGAGCCGCTCGGAGGTAGTGTCTGTGTGCCGTGCTACTCGTGGACCACGACCCCCCTCCCTGACCTCGGCGGGTGTGGCCGATGCCGATGGACCATCTCCGAGGTCCCCACTCTCCATCGAGATTATCTTCCGTCGGAGAGTGGAGAGGTTCTCGACTCGTCCGTTTAGGGCTCCTGCCGCCCTAGCCGCCTTTTCGGCAAAACGCCGGCGATTCTCCTCTTCTCGGACCCGCTTTCCGACGTCGAAGTCGCAGAAGTCACCCCTGCAACCCTCAAGCTAGACGCAGCACGGGTGGTAGGAAGGTGAAGTTGGACGAACTGAGTGTATGAACTGTTGCATATTCCCCTTCCAACGGCACGTCGGGCGCTAAAATGCAATGCATATACGGACACGAGCACATGTCCCCCCTCGCGACTGGACATTTGCATCATAGATGTGGTTTCCTCCTCATATCGTGCGGAGCCTGGTTTATAGCGTTTGCATACGAAATGCGTGTTGACACAAACACTGGGGATGGTGTAGGTGCTACGTGTTAAGATATATAAAAGCCCGGCAAGATTCCAGCGCTGTAGATCAACGAATTTGGTACATCCTCTTTCACCAGTATGAGGTCAAGGCAAGCGCTGTATTGTGTTCTCCGCTACTTTTTGCTTCCACACAGTGGCACACCTGAGTACTGCCGTAAATCCGATTGGTTGCAGCCTGGTCCAGCTTGGCGACGGACGAGTCGAAGTACACCGTAGAGCGCGGAGGGGAAGGAGACCGACTTGCTGCACGGCTGCCGCCATCTGTGTCGTTGTCGCCGAAATCGCTGGTTGCAGAGCCTTCTCCAGGATCCAGATCAGCCCAATCGAAGGACGCCATGCCTGCATGAACAGCTGCCCGGGTTCCGGTCCTTTGCGACCGAGTCCCGGTGTTGGGCAGCACCCGCTGCGACAAGGCTACCGAATCGCCGCCTGTTTCTCGTGCTCGGTATTCATCGTTGTCATTCCGGGGGATGGTGCTGCTTGGATTGGTTGAGTCCACAATTGGACGTGGACGGTGGCGGCGGCGGCGGGCGACCGCTCGGCTCTTCTCTGGGGAGTGATACCCAACACTCCGCAGTAGTTGAGAAAAATTTTCATCCCCTAAAACGCCAGCGATCTGATCGGCCTCGTGTTTCCTATGACGCAACTCTGTGGCAAGTGCGCGCTCCTCCTCTTTCAAGAAACTCGCCCCTTGTGGGCCGTTGTCGCCTAGTTCCTGCGCGCCAGAAATCGTGGGCCTTGCCGCGACCGTGCAGCAGGTGACCCCGACCAGCCACAACTCATCATTGCCGTCCAAAACAAACTCCGTGTCGAGGCGCAGCACACGGCAGTGCTTCGATCGCTCAATGGCAATCACCACGGACCTCACCGTGGCTACCACCTCTGCATTGATTCTCGCGTTTTTGCTCAGCAGGAGGTTGTGACGCTGCGCGCCGGTGCCGGCGCCCTTGCCCTCTTTGCTGCCGGAGATTTCCAAGCCAACGCGCCTGTGTGTGGTGCCAGTGGAGACCCCACCCCCGATATCATCGAGTATGTACTGGTGCTGGTAGTTGGCGAACTCGGCGGTGATGTCGAAGTCCTTACCTCCCTTGAACGGGTAAATACAATCGAAGTCGGCCGGAACAACACCGCCCTTGACGATGGTATGGAGCATTTTGGACGTAATGGGGAAGTATTCCCCAGTCTTCCTCCGTGCCATGGCGATCACGTGCTCCGCCGTTTGAAGTGTGGAGTCTCCAGGACCACTGCCATGACTGGCACTCTTCTTTAAGGTGGTTGCGCGAGACCTGAGCTCTTTCTCGATCGCCTTGAGGCTAAAGATGAAAGAATAGCGTTGGCGTAGGATGGGGTTCACAGAAAAACAAACAATTATTTTAAGGGATTGCCCAGTTATGAGGAAGATGTGCTTGCTCTTTATGACGACGGAGGCAGCCACTATTTAGACCTTTGATCAGTGTTGGCTTTCTGTTGGTGCAGTGTGTGGAGACACTCGCATGCGTTCCACCCTGGAAACGTCTATGGAAACGTGAAGGACTGCTGCCGGTCGGATGGTCCCGCGCATCTTGCAGCACCGGCATGCCGCTCAAGGACTTGGTGGGTGTTTACCCGCCAACAATCGTCCCACACTACCTCAAAAGCACTGACCTCAAAAAGCGTTCGCCCTTGCGCCGCACGGTTCCATCCGCGGCCGTGAAGAAAAAGTTTTCCGCCTGCCCCCCTCCGGTACCGTCCAAGAGGACGGTATCTAGCATCTTCACCCGCGGAGCCGGATCGACGCTGCCGGTCCGCGTTGAGAGACAATCCAGCACGAACCGCCATGGTGCTTCGATGGAAGTGCGCGTTCCTGAGAGCATTTCAGGGGGAGGCAAGACATCCCTAGCGATGTCGCGATGCGTTCCTGATCCGTCTTGCCCCGCATTTCGACGTCGGCGGAGCCCTCTCTCCCTCTTTGGCATCCTGTACACCTCTGCCCCGCAGTTCGATAGGACGGCAGAGAGGCACAGCAAAGGAGGAGACAACAGAGAACATGAGCCCCGATGCGCGTTCAAATAGACGCGGGCTAACTTACATATAGCCGAAGCGGCATTGTTCCTCCCGCATGCAATGCGGCGACCCAAAAAATAATCACCCTGCATCGCCCGGGCTCCTAGGGTCTATCAAAGGCAGCTGCGCAGCTAGATCAACCCCTACAGCCTATGGGTCTCTTACCATCTCATCCCTGAATTTGTCGAGTCCCTACACACAGGCCCGTAGGCGAAATGGTGATCAATGCACATACAGGCCCACAGGCCACAGGACTGCACAAGTGGTTCGAAGCGGGGGGTGTCACACACAACTACGACACACGGAACCCCCGGGTCTGGGTCTGTCTCTCAAGGCTGTCAACCGCAACTCTCGCGCTGTCAGCAGCCGGGTTGAACGGGAAGCTGGTGTCTCGTTCGATCTATTCGCCAACGGAAGTAGGTGAACATCAGGTCGAAGGACGACGTGGAGGGCAACGCACAACGCCAAACCATGGGACAGGACAAAGTGAAAGATATCACCGCAGGGGAGGTGGCGGAAGCACCGGCGGCGGAGCCAAGCACAACAGCAGGTAAAGGGGTCGACAGCAGTAGCGACGGCCAGCCATCGGCGGCCCCGCCAGCACCGCCGACGCAAGGAGACTCGGACAGCGGGAAAGATTCGTCTGCGTCGTCGTCTTCCGAGAAGAACCCGTTCGATCAGTACTACGCTCAGCTCACCCACCAGCAGAACATGCTTCAGGACAGCGTGAGGGTGACGGCTTACCAGAGAGCGATTTCGGAGAACCGCGCAGATTTCAAGGTGAGGAGGCATCGCGAGATGCATGTGTATGATCATCGCAACATCCTATGCTGAGAGCCAAACATTGCTGTAGAATAGGATCAGGGGAAGTGGGCGAAGGCATAGAGTTGGGCGCTGTTGTTGAAAATTTTGTTCCCAGGGGCGAATTTGCGTATGGGGATTTGCTGGTTCTCGCTGTGGTTCTGCGGGTTCTCCATTGTAGTTCAGAACTCAGAGGTGGCCAGCAACAACAGCAACATGAGTTCGCGACCGAAAGGATTTAGTTTTAATCAACGAAAAAGAGGAGGGTTTCGTATCTATTCCTAACCCTAACCCAACCCCCCCAAACCCCAATCCGTACCCTCCACTAAAACCAAGCTCAATGTACTCGCCAAGGCTACGAGGACTGATTCAGTCATACCAGAAAAACTCACTTGTAGCAGTCCAATGGCAGCAAAAGCCTCTGTAGGTAGTACTGGTGGCCTTGGCCTGCTGTGCGTTCTTCATCTGGACAAAAAAAAACACCATTAACCACTCTGGCAATCACAGCTGCGGCGTCCCGGTAGAAGCAGCACACCTATTCCTTCGCAACGAATGCGCTCAACAGTCGTTTTGCCCGTTTGCCCCCACCCACGCGCGCCCTCTTGCGCGTGCCATTTTACAAAACAGGGGAAAGTGGTGCTGGACGTGGGGACGGGGAGCGGGATCCTGGCCTTCTTTGCGGCGCAGGCCGGTGCGCGGAGGGTTTACGCCGTGGAGGCCAGCGACGTCGGTGAGCTGGAAAAATCCGGGAAAAATCCGTGCGTTGTGGGGTCGATGAACCAGGGCTACTGCAACTGCTACTGCATGCACGCGCCGTTGTCCCTGTTTCGTGTGCAACAGGACTGCACATCTTTTGCTGCTTGATCAAAACATTTCCATCCTTTACGAAGACTTGAACCTCGGAAGAACCGTGATAGATCGGTGTGTAGAGTAGTGTTATGTAGCAGAGCTCCGGCTCGCACTGCTGTGACAAGGCACTGCAAGTGCTACTTTCTGTTTCGTGCTTCATTTTGTGCGACCATTTTTCCGGTGCGGTGCAGGTTGTGTCGTGACGTTTAATTTTTAAAAGCTACTCTGACCCCGAACCCATGAAAAAGGGTTGCGTACATGCGGTGCAAGTTATTCCACGCGGCGTGCATCGAAAAAAATCAAGGAACCTGAACGATCAGGGCAAGAACAGCAAGACAACTCTGCATGGGATTACAGATAACGAAAATGAAGGATTGTAGCTGTCTTAGAGCACAGGGCGGTGTTCGGTGTCATGTGCACCTATGCAGATCCTCAAAGGGGGCTAAAGGTTTGGATTTCAACGGACGCCCTGCTTGAGGCTCACCAGTTACCACTGCTGTGAGTAGCCTTTGGTGCGCTAACCTATGGCACATGACCCTCTGTGTTATCTTTCAGCACTAGCGTAGCCCAGGAGGTAAGCTGATGCAGCGGCGGCGGCGGCAGGGGGGCTAGCTTACCCCCAAACCTATGCTACCACTTTGCTGAATCGCTGAATACGCAACAAGCCTTGCATGTGTCCCAACGGCGCACTTCCCTCCTCGCGTTCCTGTGCGTTCCGTAGCCATCAACACATCCCTGGCCGTAACCGAATCCTTGGCCGTAACCGAATCCTACCACCCCAATATAGAGGCAGTTTCCGCGTCTATTGCCTTCCCCTTGTCTCTTTCTCTCTCTGAAGCCCGGCTTCCTTTTGCTCCGCCACCGCCTTTCTTGCACCCGTATGTACAGACGTGTGGACGTTCGCAGGCTTTGGCTGATTCTCATTTGTCCCGTCGTCGTTGCTGCCGTTGCTGTTGCTGCTGTTGCTGCTGTTGTCGGCACGCCCTGATAGCTGAGGCGGCACAGGAACTGGTAGACGCAAACGACATGTCGTCCATCATCAAGGTTATCAAGGGGAAAGTGGAGGAGATCGAGCTTCCCGAGAAGGTTGACGTCATCGTGTCTGAACCCATCGGGTTCCTGCTGGTAAGCACTCCCTGGCCTCTGTGATCCGGTGCCCAATGCGCTTTTTACATGTCAGATGTTGTTGCTGTTGTTGGTTCTGGCGGCGTGATAGTGCCCTTGTGGTGGTTGATCATGCCACTGCTAGTGTGGGTTGATGCTGGTTATTGTGACGTTGAAAGGTGTGTTGATCCCTAACCCTCTCACGATGCTCCGTGCTGATGTCAATTATTCCTTCCTTCCACTGGCGTTTGCAACAAGCCGAAGTTTTCCACCTGTCTGCTTGAGTCCCGCCCACGCGGATGGTGTTAACGAGGCGGAGCAAGCTGTTTAAAGCCGCAGTGTTGGTCTGTTGCTTGTCGTAAGGACATGACACTTTGTTAACCATAGCGGCCTGCAGGGGGTAAGGAGAACAACTGCATGTTGGCTTGCCTTGCTTGGCAGCAAACCTTTTATCATTCTCGGAGTACAAAGTATGTTCTTGCCGTGTACGATGTCGGTCATCGCACTGCTGCACCTGGCACCCACAAGGAACATCTGGCAGTTTTTGGGGCTACTATATTCTAATCTCATCTCAATCTAATCTAATCTCTTCCCTCGATATGTTCTCGTGGCATGAGCGTATGTTACAAGTGTTGCGAGTTGTCCAAAAACAAAATCTCGAGCGATTCTCGACATTACCAACGGCACATACCATCTGCTGTACTAACCCACCCGGGCTTTTTTTTGTAGCCACAATTAGCAAACCACGAAGAAGCGATTGCGCATCGATGCTGTGGGAACAACGCTCCGCCCTCTCGACGCGTGGTCCATGGTCCAACAACTAAGGCATGCGAAACGTGATGAGTACAACCCCATCTGACGTGCGCGCTCGCTTGGCTGCTTTCGAACCGGCAAAAAAAACACGGGGGGCATGCATGCGTACGCACGCACAGGTTCACGAGCGCATGCTGGAGTGCTACGTGAACGCCCGGAAACGGTTCTTGAAGCCGGGGGGGAAGATGCTGCCCACGCTGGGGGAGATCGTGACGGCCCCCATAACCGACGAGACGCTTCACCAGGAGCAGGCGCTCAAGGCCTCCTTTTGGGAATCCCAGAACTACTACGGGGTCGACCTATCCATGTGAGCGAACGCCGCTGTCTTCCGGCGGGGGGGGGGGGG